CTCAGCTTTATTTTGTCATGGTTTCCACTTCTCCACGCATAGATGGAAGCTGCGCCTTAGTTACTAAGTAGAGTGAGGTAAGAGTACAAACGCTGCATACAAGTAGGCAATTCGATGTGGCACATTTAGCGGCACCCAAACATAGTCTGATGGATCCCAATGCTCCCATGTCACCAAGACATCTGCCAACATCAGCAACCACCATGAGGTAAGGCGATGAAGTAAGCAGCTTCAGTGCTCGAAGACAGTCATGAAAACACCACATCATCCAACAAACCTCCATTGAAACAATCCGTCAAATGCGTTTGAAGACTAATTAGGAAATACTCGATGTCGCGGTTACGCAACACCTTCCATCAACCTCTCTACCGAAATGCCAACACGAATTCAATCGTCTTACAGATTACTTCTGCACCAACGCGTGCACATTTGAGGAATTATATGAGGGCATGTAATTGCAGCGGATAGTTACGAAGGCTCCAAAGTCTTATTTTTCGTTAAGAATATTCATGTGGTATGTAACCTGGTAACTTGCCTAAGGCTGCCAAAATGGGCATCTTCGTTTTGCACAGCACTGGTCTGTTGGATACTCCGGTATGAGCCACAATGGAAGTTCCACATGCCACACCGTAGAGTGTGAAGTTAATTAGATTTCCCTCAAAATGCCGACAGGTTGCACTTTGTGACGAAACCAATGCAACGGCCCAGCAAGTGTGATACTCAAAGGCTGCAGATGAAGTAAAATGACTACCGCCACGCCATGAGACACTCCACAGGTTCTTACAAATGGCGGTGCTTGAGGAGGCGAGCGCCAGTGGTTGCATTTACTAGTCGACAACACGGCCACGATAGAAGCAGACCTACCTCCCCAAAACACCCATTGACTTGGCCAAACGGAAGTAGTGCATCACAGAAAACCAACTTCAAATTCTACTTCTCGAAACTAAAATGCCAACTGCTCAGGGTCCATGCTCTACATCGTAGCGATTTCCTGACTCACAGGATCTCATTTCAAAGAGGCATAAAGGGATATCAAGAATTATGAAACAGCTTGTGGGAGGTTGGGGGACAAGTTTCAGGTATTCCCATCCTCCTTGTTACGACCACAACAACACGACACTCATTCCACTGCTTTGACGAAGATGGAGGTATTACGGTCTGCACGTGCCCAATAAGAAAACGGAAGGTAGCGAACGTGCTTGGACGTGGCATGCACCAAGGCGATTCAATGACTAGTGTGACGAGGGACGAAGCTGAACTGCCAATTCCGACCTCATGAATGAAGAGACGCGATTTCATGGTTTAGAAATTGCATTTATTATTCTACACAATTCTCCAGCCCGCTTTCATGGACCAGAACATGGACTTGACCGAACGGATGTAGTGCATTGTCACATGCACACTGACAACGCCATTGGAAATTGGAGTTAATGGAAACCGTTGTGTTTGCAGTGGAATGGCAGTAGATCCGTGTCAACGACCATCAGCCTCACAATTGGTTCGACTCTTCGATTTCATCATGCGCAAAGTCTGCACGAAGAATTCCTCGCAGCTGTCCATTGACGTCCAGAACGCTTACGTTCCCCATATCCCGCCAAAGCCCAGCAACTCCCACGTAGCTGGACACAACTTTTAACCGCGCCTTGTAAAAAGACCTGACTTCAGCATTTAAAGAGCTCCAATGACACGAAAATGTATATTTCATGCAAACTAATTCTACCTCTTTTTCTCAAAATCGTCAAAACGACTTTGTTACGAAAGAGGACATTCGCTTCTAAGGCCAATACCTACACATACAAATGTTTATGCAAATGCACAAAGATATCCACAGCAAACACAAAGGCCAAGGCATTCAACACTTACCGGTGCCGCGACATCTGCTTCACTCTCGCAACCACATCTCCACGCGCCTTCCTAAATGAAGTGCAAAACAAAACAATTTACACGACCTCACAACGGTCTCAGAACTGCGAACATGCAAGGAAACGGTACTTTCTGTGCGTTCAGTCACTCTGACCACTCAATTTCCCTATCCAATGTGGCTACTCTGACGTCGGAGCGCCCCATTCATGTCTACTACCTTCCAGCCCACTTCTGCATTCATAACAGAATTTCCTCGTCTCCTCACCTCTGAAGTCATCCATTACGTCTTCCGAGGTCATTCTGCCAACCCCTCTACCACCACTCACTGGCAAACTCAACTACTGCTAACTACCGCCCCAACAGCAACACGTCTCAACGTCAGAAAACGACGAAATCAACTGCAATTTAGGTTAAGGTGGAAGTTGTAGCACTGCGCCGGTTCCACTGCCCTGCAGTCTTAGTGAATTGCATCAGAGAAACAAAGTGCAAAACGCAACCATGCATTCGTACACTACGTGACTTGCACGATTTCGAAAGTGCCCTTCTGACTCCTACACAACCTTTGCCTGCAGAGCCTGCATACGTGAGGAATACACATCATCTCCCTTTCTCCCGCCAATTCACCACTATCGTCAGTTAGCATATAAATGCAAACGTCTTGACATGGACGCGACTCTACAATAACAATTTTTCCTCCTTCCGCAAGAGGACAGGCTCATCGCAGTCCTCGCTGGCGACCCGCCACTTTTCAAAGCACCGACTAAGTTGCAATGCCGTCGAAGAAGAGAGGTCATACGAAACACAGATCGCGAAACATTAAATCGAAGCAATGTTAACTCGAGCAGCACATTTAACTACGCAGACTCTCCACTTCCCACATTCCAGTGTGCAATAAATATTGTGCATTCGTAAGGACTTCACCAACATTCGCGTTCACTGACGGAGAAGTCCCTGGCGTTTGGAGAAATACTGGACAATTCCGCGTTCTCGAATGCAATGTACAGCTGCGAGGTACTCTTTGTACAGACATTGCGCATGAAGGAATTGAGCGGTCGAATCAAGTGTGACGCTGATGGTCGTTGTCCACGCGATTTCTGAAATGGTAGATACGAGTGGACCTTCATAGAGTGCTAATCCACTTCTTCGTCCAACTTTCTTGTCAGCTTTTCCCAGGCTGTAACCACCACACTGTAAATATCCACTTTCCTCGACCAACGAGTGCAGATTTCATCACTACAACCTAGGTTTCGAGAAAAGAAAGAAAGGAGTCTCCACTCAATTACTTCTGTGAGAACGGTGAGTACAACAAAGTTATTCACGAGTGTAAGCGTAAGTTCAATCGTATGTTCAACGGCAGGTAATATGCCAGCTTCTTGATATTGGCGATGACGGAAATGTTAAGAAGGCATCAAAGTGAATAACTATTTGGACAGGAAAAGGCAGTACATGCATCGGAACCAGGAAACCCACTTTTACTCCTAATAATGAATATAGGTCCGACCAAATACTCCTGTACATTGAGTGACGGTATTTTTCCTAGCACAACTGTCCAGTCATTCAAGTGCATTCTCCACCTCAAGATACCACTACCAACGGTCAAAATTACTGCTGCGCACTGTGCGATGTGCAGGTGCGTTGGTGGAAGAACTGGATAGGTGGTGACCATCGGGGCCATTTCATTTAGTCACAACAGCGCACGAGGTCACATTGCTCACCGCACCACATTTGAAACACAATAATCTCGCATAAAGGCAATGCCACGCACCACATGACCCTAAGCCAAGTTTCTCATCGAGTGACTTCTGCATCGGCGGTCCAGTAAAGCACACTTCAAGAAGTGTTCACACATGCTCATATCATTCCCCACTTAAGCTGTCCTGCAGGAGTATCACTTAAACGCGGAGACAAGTGTACCAAAGCAGAAAAGGGGGGGGGGCGAGTGGCATTAAGAAGAAAAATACACCTTTTTAAGCTTTGAAATTTAGTCGCATCACGCCTCATACCAGTCATTTATTTCCCCCGATTCATACCACACCTTAACACGTTCGCTACCCACCGTAGTTCAAATGTTGCAATATCCATTACAATGACACCAACTGCCACCCATTTCCACGACTACTCAGTCTACAACACGCTTGGCAAATGCACTTTTCCAAACCGGGAAATACGTCCCCTATTTCTGACCCCAAGGTCAAATAAAAAAATCAAAACTTCACACATGTTGTGGTGGCAGTAAGTGGTAATGTGTAAGTGAGGCCTCTAACTACTAACATCAGTTTTGTTGGTTATGCAGAGGATGATGGAAAACACATCCGCACTTACACTATCGCTCCTCTGGTGCTGTAGAGAAAAGGGGACGCTGATTCGATAACTGCATTTCCCTCATGTTCGATTCAAAAACCTTCGACTTCCCCATGTCACTCATCTCGAGAGTGGTACATCCGTCCAAGAACAGTATGTTAGAGGGTTTCAAGCTTCCACGGATAGTTGGCACATCAAGGGAGCGAAGGCAATCCGAGCCATTGGCAAGATACGGTACACAGTACATCAAGTGCCAAACGGTTCACTCAACTCTCACACAAATGAGTAAAGACAGGAGAGATTAACCTGGATCCAAGAGAATGAAGATGCTTGAGTTCATTCGGGGAGGCAGCTGTCTTCAGCTCAACGACGACATCGAAAAAGTCGGTCATTCGTGTGTTTGGATCGGAGCCAATGAACCTGACTGTGTTTTGGTGGTTGCAGGCGCAAGTGTGCAGGCTTCACGATAGTTGTAAATGCTTTCACCAATCGTAGTCATGAACCACAACTTCTTTTCATCACATTCCCACGCCGCTGTGTGCCAAATGAAATGACTCTATAGCCAAAGTTAAAGGCCCATTTGTGCTAATTCCATTTTTAAATATCTTTGTCAAAGAAAACAAATCTGATTTTTTTTACTAAAAGCGGCTATGTATAGACAAATAAACGAAGACGCACCCACGTCTCATCTATGTGAATGTCATCGTTGGTGACATTGAGTACTGATTTGACCACTTCCTCACAAACGGTCAGCTATTCGCCTTTCCTGGGATCAAAAAAAGGGACTAAAATAGATTAAATCAGGGATAAAATGAAAGGGAAGGGAGCCTGCAAGTTATATTTTCTGAGCAGTTAACTGTATTAAAAGTAAAAGGAATATCGTTGCGCATCTTAAACTCTCCCAAACAAATGCCCCCCGTTGTCTAATATTTGACAACAAAGCAATTTTAACCATTTATTTTGCAAAAGTGAACCACACAGCACGCTCACCTTGAAACACATCACACAGCTTGACTTGCCGCAGTAAATAACACATGAATTCATGAATTAAAACTTGGGCCAGCTAAATGCTGTCAATGACATTGTTAAGTAGTGGAACTCTGGTGCATTGCAAATACAACCAGGAAAGCAAACAAAGCCGCAAGGATTCATAAGTGAAAATATAGAAAACCAGCAATTTTATTATAATACAAAGAAGCATTTCTCCTTGCATTCATTTGGCCACTTCGTCGAATGGCTTCAGACTTGTAGAATTACTACGCTCATACGCTGGGAACAAAACCCAAGTACAAATCCAAATGACATGCTACCGATTTATATGAAGGTGAAATTCAGTTTACGTATAACGAATCTAACTGCATGTAAGTATTAACGAAGATCGGCATCAAAATCATCATGCAATGTGATACAAAGGCTGGTAAAAG